ATCCACAACTTCTCTGGGCAACCTGTGCCAGTGCCTCATCACCCTCTGAGTGAAAAATTTCTTCCTTATACCTAATCTAAATCTACCATCTTTCAGTTTAAAGCCATTGACCCATGTTCTATCACTACATGCCCTTGTAAAAAGTCCATATATATATTTTTTTTATATATATATATATAACATAAACAATCTGATGCCAAATATTCTGAGTTGTGGCAGTTCAGTATAGTTAACAGTAACTACTTTAATTTACATGCAATATATTGATTTCGAGACACATTTTTTCTATAACAGCACAAAAAATGAGGAAGCTTTTGGGAGGTCTCAAAGAGAAAAACGTACTTCAGTTAATTTTTTTCGGTATACACTTTTATGTTAGCTTCATTTTCCTCCTCCTGCCTTGGGGCAGTGGCTGTTTTGTTTGAGTGATTTGTTAGAATCGTTGAGTTCTTATCAAGCATTTGCAAATTAATGAATTGTTAAAAAGGAGACAGAGGGGGAAAGAACATTGGTAGACTACCAGACTGTGCTTTATATCTGCTCTCTTTAAGCAAAAAGTTTCTTTTTTTTGCAATGTTCCAGTTGCCAAAATTGGCCTCAACTGAATACCTTTCCTGAAAAACAGCTAGAATTTCTCACAAGATGAGAGTTGGCCCAAGTGACCTTAGGAGGTCCCTTTCAACCTAAACTATCCTACAAGCATATGTCAGCCAGGATGTTCAGGAGAATCAGGAATTAACAAAGATACGGGTCACAGTTCTCTACATGTGTGGATCCTCCTCATCTTCATCCTCTTTTACCTGAACGCATTTTCTTGTCTTTGTTCTTGTAACCTAACTAAACACAAAACATTGAAAACATGAAAACAAGCATGTTCTACAGCTCAGAAAGCAGATCAAAAGAACCCAATGCTTTTTATTTTTGGATGGTTGGAAATCCCCATGGAAAAGAAATTAGGCATTTACAATTTTTCCACTGTTTTTATTCCAAGTGGGAACAAAAGCTTTCTGGAGAGTAGAACTTGTGAGCATTTGAACCTTCTGAATTAAGGAGCATTTTGTGTCAATGTTAAAATACTGTAGTGCAACATCTAGACATATTAATGTGGAAGTATTAATGGTGTAAATGGATTTTTTTCATTACTTTCTCTTACAGTAAACCTTGTCAAAATGTCACCAGAATCTTTGGATTCCTGTGGAATGTTTGTAAATTAATAAAACTATGTCATCCAATAGAAAACAGTTCTGCTAAGAATTTTACAGCAGTGCTAAATACTTTTTCAATACAAAGATATTAATATTTCAGCCTAACTCAAGTTTAAATCCTTAAGAATTGCAAAAGATGTTTTTCACAAGATTAGCACGTTCTTGAGGAAGCACCTCGACAGGTCTCTTGATCTGTTAAGGCAGTGCATGGTAAATTAGCTGCTGCTGCCCCTCATTGAGTCAATGCGTCAGCAGCATGGAGCTGTATGTTTTTGTTGCAGTTAGAAGGTTTTGGGTAGGGAAGGCATCAGTGTGAACTAATACAGAAATTGGACAAAGATCATAGAATCATAGAATGGTTCGGGTTGGAAGGGACCTCAAAGATCATCTAGTTCCAACCCCCCTGCCATGGGCAGGGAAACCCTCCACTACACCAGGTTGCCCAAAGCCTCATCCAGCCTGGCCTTGAACACTTCTGGGGATGGGGCATCTACAACTTCTCTGGGCAACCTGTGCCAGTGCCTGATGATCCATAACTCTGAATTTGTATATATCACTTCGTGCTGCACAAAAAATTTTCGAGCTGTGGCTGAGTGATCCAGCTCAGGACTAGAAGCAATATGGCCATTTGGGGCTGCTTCTTGATTTTGCCTGAACCTCAGCAAAATCCTATACTATAATAATGATACAGTTCCTAGTATTTAAACTAAATACTGTTCTGCATTAGTCTAAATGCATGGGCCTTCTCATTGAAAACTTAGAATGCTTGTCTTCAGCTTTTTGGGTGGGTTTTTTTCTCTGTATCATGAAAAATGAGAAGTAAATGTGTAAACTTTTTCTTCTTTTAGAGATTTATCTGCCAATCTGCAGGGGGAACTACTTAACTCACTTACCTGCTGGTAGTAGAAGTCTGGCTTACAGTAATACAGGAAAAGGAAATTCTGAAGTTGTTTGAAGGCTGCCCTCCATGTGAATTCATATGCCTAAAATAAGGATTTATCTAGCAATTATCAATGAGAAGTATTAGCTTATAGGTAGAAATCTATTTATTACTTTGTAGAGATTGTTTCACTGTACTATGGTAGCATGTTTGAAGTAAAATACACTTCCTTACTAATCTAAAGCAAAATTTACTCTGTTGACTTACTGCAGGCATTTGGGAACATAGTTTGAGCTTCTGTAGGCAGTTCATCCTGAGAATTCATGATTCCCCTCCCCTGGGGATACAGTGACCAAGAAACAGCTTTATAAGAAGTTGGCTAGTTGAGATTCCTGGACAGTCGCTGAATTAGTTTTCTGCTCTTCTGAGCAAGGGTTGTGAATGGTCTGTTCTGTTAACGTTTTCCTTTCTGGCAGATTTTCTCTTTGAGTCTACCAACAGAGAGAACTGGACCCTTAAAGCTCTGTGTGTATATTAAAAGATGAGATTTGATACATCTTATATCCATTAATTTCTTAGTTTCTGACTGGAAGCTGTAATAGCCTTAGTGTTAACTAAAGATAATCAAATTCATGTGTTTCATGAGACCTTTTCTAATGAAATGATGAATTTTATAAAACCTTTATCTTAAGTTTGCAGTGTGTACATACAGACCTGTTTCCAAGGTGGGAAGAAAGTGCTTATACCCTGTTTTCTTTTAGTTCATATGGGATTTGTTTTTAAATGGGAAGAGGGACAAAGAGAAGTATGAATTCTCCACTGGTAGAATGCCATAGGTCAGTACTGTCTCTGCTAGGCTGTCTTGGATTAATAGTATAAAATGTGGTGGCTACGCATTTCTGTGATGAACAAAGCAAGTGTCAATTTTAAAGTAAATCTGTTTGGGGGGAAAAAAATAAATTACCCTAAGTGCTTTTGTTTCTAGAAAATTTTTAGTAGACACTTTGTTCTATCTCTGACAGATAAAAATTACTGCTGCCTTGGTGAGTATGTCTTCATTTAACTTAGTAGGAAAAAGCATCTTTTTTACTAAGTGTTCAAGTATTTGTTTTAACTTGCCTTGAGTCTATAGTGGGCACAAGTTGTCTAAAGCAACTGTTTTGAAGTAGGTGTAAAGAAAATATTGAAAGCTGCTGAAAAATTGATGTGGAATGTAAAAATGATCATTTCGTCTCAGTTCCTGTACGTCTGTAGTTAGATAACAATGCTAGGATCATTTATTACTTTCTTAGAAACAGTGTCCTAAGCTCAAGGGCCACCTTTCATGGTAAAAAATTCGATTCAATTTCTGATTCCATTTAATCTTTGTTGCTATTGGGGCTGTCAACAAAGATGCCTGTTGTAATGTGGATGTATCCACTAGGAAAAGTTGACAGATGGTAAGAAAATCTTGTACTAATAATCCAGGCTGTGTTTGAACTTATGGCCTATATGTGAAGGACTCAGTATCCTGCTATAAATCCTTTGAGCTATCTACTCATCTGTGTCTAATTTTCAAAGAGTCCCTGTCTCCTACCCATTTCTTCTTTCAGTGTTTTACAGAAGTTAGATTTCCCGTACCCCTTCTGTCTGTTAATGTTGTTCTGATTTTTTTTTCTGCATTTTGATATGATTGGATATTCTCTCTTTCCATTTTCAAGCCTGTCTTTTCTATACTACCTTGCATTTTGTTATCCTTTAAAATGGAGATAGTTTAGAATTTAATAAAATTGTTCAGTACAATTAATTAATGCAAGCATTTCTTTGAAGACTTACAAATGTGACCCTGTTTCATGTACTGAGTTCAGGAAATTGCTCAGATTTTAAATGAGGTTTTAACAGGTAAGGAAGTATAAGATTCACATAGAGGTCTTCAGTCATTCTTGTGAGAATGTATACAGTTAATAAGGCCATTGTTTGATCTCTTTGTTAATCTACTCATAAGACGTTTCTGCTTTTCACTATGACAAAAAAATGCAAATGAGTGTTTTCTAGAGGTATTATTAATTTGTTGTTATTACTACTACTGTAACAGTAGACCTACTACAACATAGTTTTATTTTAGTTTTTATTGAAGTATGAATAAAAGACAGTTTCTATCATAGCTGCCTTGCTTTGGTATTCTAATTCTAAACACCTCACTTCTCTCTTCATAAGCCTAAAAAGGGAGGTTTGGCTTTGAGCTTCTCATAATGGCTAGTAATTTTATTGACAACTTGGGCTAACCATCTACTCCTTCATCAGCAGATCATGCCAATAGTAGGTGAATTCACAAGCTATGTAGAATTCCCCTTGCTTCTCTTGGAAATTTCAGATAAGAAAAATCAGTTTTCATTTGTATTGTAAATACGAATACAAAAATAAGCATTTTTTCATATGTAAACTAACTTACATATCCAAAAAGCAACTTCTTTTTATTCAGTCCATTATATAAAATACTGTAATTGGACATTAAATTTAGTTTAACCAAAGGAGCTAGTTACCCACTTAAAAGAGCTGAATTTAAAATGTATTACATTAGTATGTTTTCAGCTTCTTTAAAGGAAATGCAGATATCTCCCTGTGTCATAGATACACAAGCATCCAAATACAGTTTTCTGAACTCCAGGCCTCCATGAGATGCACTTACATAAAATATGCTTTAGGAGAAATGTGGCTGTACATATTGTGCTTGAAGTATGAGAGTAACTGTTTTCAGGAGGGCACTAAAGCATGCGCTTTGCCTGCAAGAATGCGTGCAAATACCTTGCTGAATCAGGAGTCGGCTTTTCAGACTACTAACGAAACTCTTATTCTGACTGGAGCATAAAATACCTGCCCTTTATAGGAGTGCATTTTAAAGCATTAGGTTACAATGTTATCAAATCACAGTGTACTCTTTC